GGTCGTGCGCGAGGTGTAGCCGCACAGATGATACACGTATACATACGTAGCGATAGTAGGCACAGACTACGCGGGAAACCATCGTACACGTGAAAAACAATTTATTTACTAGCAGTGCGCTTTGAGAAAGAAAAATATTGTAATCCACGTATTGTAATCCAAGTATTGTAATCCAAGTATTGTAATCTACATGGAAAGATCAAATTTTCCAAAAATTTATTTAGTTAGATAAAATATTAAATTAAATATTTTCAGCATCATCTACACACGTTTTTTATTTGTTTAAAACATTTTGCAGGATTTAAAACTATTGCTCCTAATCGAATCCTTGTCAAAATAAATATCAATGTTATATTTTTTAAGTAAATAATTAATCAATTATATATAGAAAAAAGCAAAAATATGAAAATTAATTATATTTTAATTAAATATGCTTTGTTATATATTATATATAAGGATTACAAATTATAAATATTTTATTACATATTCTAAATTATATATTTTATTATAATTTTTTATTATATTTTTTTACTATATTTTATTACATATTTTTTTACTTATCAAAAATTGTATTTTATTGTGTATTAAAAAATGTAATCTTCTTTTTTATTTCCAAAAACTGAAGCAAATTACATATAAAGAAACGAAGAATTCACATTATGGCAACATTGCTGATAACCTTGGAATTCGGGGACATCGACTCCTCCTCGATCGATTCGTATGCACGAAATGAAGAGGCAATGTTATAAATATGGCCAGGGAGCTAACGGGAGAAACTTCTGGCTCTTTATGTCGGATTAGAACATATCGAACAGGTCGACGATCTCGGCTTCATAACCGCTCGAATCATTCGGCGTATAATTATATTCGAGCGAACCTCGAAAGTTTAACAGCGTTTGTAGTAATGACAACGCGGGTTAAGATTCGCGGAGTTTTATCTTCGTCGTCGCGAGATTTTACAGCTGAGGTAAAAAGTAAAATATCAAAAGAGACGCAAAGTTATAAAAAACATATATATACATAAATTTATACTACACGTAATTTTGTATTACAGTTATATAAAAACGAGTCTAATCAACGCGGCACGAAGTTTCCTCTTCTGACTCATTTATTTTAAATTCACCAACTAACGTTGTGTATCTCGACTTACTCCGCGACTCGAAATGACGAAATCCCGAGCGAAAAATGCTATTTTGTACAGCAGCAAACTTTGTGTGTAACAATGAGCGTTTTATATACATAAAGCTGTACATCGCGAGCTAAAACATTATGACATTTATAACACAATTTGTAATCGATTCAATTATCTTCTTTTTTCTTCTCCGCCTGAAAAAAAAAAAAAACTACATAAAATGCACGACATAGAACGAGAGCAATTCAAGTATATAATAACCAGATGTAACATACACTTCGATGTTATATTACACCCTCTCTTGTGAGAATTCATTTCCTGCTATACATTTGTCAGACGAACAAAACTTCGAAATATCTTGAAGCGTGATGCGCACACCCGTCATGTGTGCGTGACCACATGTGCGATGTTTATGTTCGTGAGATGCACATACACACACACACACACACACACACATATGTGCTACGCTACACCAAAGTGTTACGTTTGTTGTATGGCGGTCGCGATATGTGGGTCAGGAAGCCGGCGTTACTAACAAGTGACTCGATTCGAAGCGACTCGTGAAGCGATACACAGCGCTATAAGCTTCGCACTGAAAATCCTTCCACCAACTCGGCGATTTCCGCGATCCGATGTGTCATCTTTAATCTTCAATTCGAAAAGGTTAATGTCCGAATGAGAAAGCACGCCGGACGTTTGAAGAAATATTTGCAACAAAGTATTTATGTGATCAGTCAGAGAGAAATCACTATATTGAAACACATATTTGAAAAAACTTCAAAGATAAAAAATTGCGTTTAATTCAACGCGTGTATCTGAAAAAATTATTTCTTTAATAAACGTTCGACCATCGGTACTTGATCAATTTCGTGTAAGAATTTTACAGTGGCAAGAGCTCAGCTACATTTCAATAAACGCGTTTGTGTTGTTAGCATTTTAACTTGTTTTTTAACACCGAGGTAATTGTAACGCGCGCAACTCTGAAAACTATAAAGGTCGCGCGTTGAAGTCTCTCCACATATCTCGAGAGACTTCGAAGAGCGAGAGTTACAGAGTGAGTTCAATGCCTCCATAAAAACGACCAGTTACGTATTTTCGATTATAGGAACAAAGTGTCCGTTTTTTCGAGCATTAAGGTAGTTCTCGTCTTATTCAAAAGTAAAATCTAGTGTCAGTACAACAAATTATATGCCTAACAATACTGCACTGTCTTTTACGTTTACATTACTCGTATGACAACAAGCAAGAACTTGTTTTTATTAAACGACAAGGGAAAATCAAGTGATACATCCAAACTTTTGACCGATACTGTACGTCCAAAACAAGTCAGAAAAATGTATAACTATGTATTGAAACGGTAAAACTAATTTTTTTTTCAAATATTTGTAAAATGGTTCCCTATAATGCAGTTGTTTTTTGTAAAAATTTATACAGTTGTTTTGAGATTAAAAACAAAAATAGGCTGTTTGGATGTATTTGATATAGAGAATGCATGTTACTAACGCCTACCTGTATTGTGTGTGTGTGTGTGTGTGTGTGTGTGTGTGTGTGTGTGTGTGTG